CCGAGCAAAGCCAAAAAAAAAAAAAAAAAAAAAAAAAAAAGGTCAGCCCGACAGGTCACTTTTTAATTTGTCAAAATGTTGTTGTGATTTTGTCAAAATATATATTTAATATGGCTTCGGAAATTCCAAAACTATTTAATATAATATAATAGATATTTAAGATGGCTTCGAAAATTTCGAAACTAATTTAACTATCCGAGACCAAAACAATTTAGTTGATTTAATATATATATTATATACATATATGTATTTTTTGCAGTCTTGGAATTAATTCTGAGACTATTTCCGAGGTCGAATTCCTTTTTTCTGGTAGTATAAAGCAAAGTCACACAGTTAATATGATGATCCAAAGTTTAGAGAAGCTGCACAGTCCGAAGGTTTCAATATCCACCTTGTATGCCAGCTCTCTAACTCCCAGAATCTTAACATTAACGATCTAGATTGGTTTAGGGAAATATAAAGCCTAAAAATAAAAATATTATCGTACATAGTGGATGACCTTGCACGTAACGTGCAATTGAGTTTTGAAGGGCTCACTTACACAACTTTGAATAATGTGTTTCTAAACTTGCAAGCCTCTATGGTACAATTATAAAATGCAATAGGAATAGCAATTACAAGTTCATACACATGAACAAAGAAAAAATGACTTGTGAAGGCACACTTTCAATAACATTGAAGAATAAGTTGTCAAAGATGGTTTACAATTTTTAAGGTTGTCCGAGAATGAATCAATAAGTGAAATATATATAAATTTTTTTATGTATGAAATGTTATATGCTAACTAATGTATAAAATGTTTAGTACATATGATAGAAAAACCATAGTTTTTGCCAAAGCTATATTTTGAGTTAGAAAATGCAATGTATTGATAACTTTTGAATTTTTGTATGTACTAAATCAATGAATGACAAGTAAGGATGAATGCAAGAAAGGTTTTGCTATTTTGATTTTCTAAACTTGAATTGAATAATATTTTGAAATTAGAGAACAAATATAGGAGAGACAATGAAATCAATTTTCAAGCAACAAAGTGCCATCATCATAAGGATGATTGTCGCAATTAGCCTGCCGAACATGCATAAAGACATGGTGATGGCATAATGTCCTTTGACATAGAACTAAACAGAAAAAATATCCGTTAATAATGTAGAAGACCAAGAGCCTCCTACAATACTTTTTCAATTATAGGCAACAAATTAGGATGTTTCCTAAATAACCAATAAATTTCTCAGACTCGATGACATTAATCATCACAGGGTATTACATTTTCAAGTATCGAACATAAGCTTCATTTATCATCAACAGATTGGAGGAAACATACAAACAAATACGCAGAAAAGCCCTCTTTTAGAATAATTGGATCATTGGGTAGCACATAGGAACATAAATTAATTAAATATAGCCTACATTAGGAAGTAGAATTATCGCATGAGACATTCAATTCAAATATATTTCCATGAAGGCATCCCTTAACTCGGATGTCTTAGCCCTTTGAAAGGATCCCAAATTATCAAGATATTATCATAATACAGACAACTGTTAAGTAAGGGAGCAACAACAACATCAACATTATAATCAATAATGGTGAAAAATATTTCCTAAAATTTCCATCAACACTTGAACGGACGGAATCCATCGAATCCACTCAAGACAGGCTAAATTTGTAGTCATCAAACTCTTTAAACGAAAACCACAAAAAATAGAAACAAAGAATTTAGTTACTATTCTGATAAAAAAAAAAAGAAAAAGAATTTCGTTATTGTTAGGTTTTGCCGTTGATTTACCCAAATTACACCCAAAGAGTAGTAATTACATATTTTAGCGTTATAAAAAAATAAAAATAAGTTATTGTTGGTATTTCCCGAATAAAGCCAAAAATCAATACAAATAAATACTTTAGGAAATAAGATTGAACCCCCACATGGGAAGACAACAATAAAACAGGCCAATTTACTGCCGGCTTGGCATTCGCGATCAGCTCCTCGCCATTTTTGGCATCCAAACTGTGAGAGTTTTTCAAAACTTCAAAACTTTTATTTTTTTTCCATAAAAAATATTAAATTGGACTTTTCACTTATGAAATCAATGGGAAAGTGCGAGAGAAAACTTTCGGCAACAAAAATAAGCAACAAAAAACTTGAAATTGGCCGAAAAAACCACGAACAACAGTGACAAAATGAAATCCTAAATCGCATGAAAGAAGAATCGGGGTGAGAGAGGAGTGTGAGTGAGAGAAAAAGAAAAAAATGGGTGGATGGGTGGGTGGGTGACTGAGTATTGACTGGATAAATGAGAATTAATTGTGTCAATAAATTATAAAAATTTAATGAAAAATACATTTACATTTAAATTATTTGTTTTTCAAAATTTTTACAATTCAAAAATACTTTCAACTTGATAATATCAAAATATTATTATTATTAAAAAAAAAAAAACTTCTTTTATATAAATTATCTAACATATAATCAAACTACTTTAACCTAAAATAACTTTTGGAAACGAATGCAATGCGTCATTTTGGGCATATGTTAGAAAACGATGCATCCCTTTATTTTAAAATTTAAATTTTAGAATCATTTTTTTTTTCGGTATTGGTGTTGCCTGGCGACAACCAGTGCCTGACAAAGATCTTATGCCCGCCCGATAAGGGATGAAATGAGTCCGACGAAATCTAATGTTTGACACAATCTGATGATAGTGGATCCAATGCCTCTGCCCGTAGTTTGACCCCAACCCACAAAATGGAACCGACCCCCTTAGCTTGAACCCACCCGTACATTCTAAATCACCTAATTAACCTAACTTGGGTCCACATACAATGAATATCATCTTTAAGCAAGCTTTCACTAAATTATTGTTATTATTATTATTATTAAAAATTACTTTATAACACCATCATCATCATCATCATCATCATCATCATCATCATTATCCCACTGAACACTACTTTTGTTTTGTCATATAATATTTATATATATCTAACCACCATGCGATGCTGTGGTGTGATGTGATGATTGTTGATTTCCCGTTTATTAACTGTTGGGCTCAATTTCTTATTGCTTTGCTGCCACGTCCCACTTACTGACGGTTACTTGTAAGTTGACTTGCAATAATTTATCAAACACAATTGTCGGCTGGCTAGCTGCTCAGGTCAGAGCTACACATACTCGTACATACTTAGGAAGTGTATTCAATCCGGATTATCTAGGATTTGAGTGGACTTTTAAAATCTACGTATATTCAATTAAAATTTTTAAAAGTATTTTAAAATTTGGAGGTAATCTAGAATTTGAAAAGTTTTTTAAAATATTGAGGTATTCAATACAAACTTTTAAAAATCTTTTAAAATTTTCGACATATTCAACAATCCATACACTTTGAAATTCTATGGATTTTAATAAAAAATTATAAAATTTTTATATAGTATAAAATTGAAAAATTTTGTATAGTATAAAATATCTCCTCATAAGTAAAGATTTATGAGGAGATATTTTGATGGATTTTTAAAATAATATTTATTATTATTATTATTATTATTATCATTATTGTTGTTGTTGTTGTTGTTATTGTTGATATATAAGTGATAAATAATAAGATAATATTTATTAATATTATTATAATTTAATAAATATAATAATTAAAAACTAAAATATATTAGTGAATTATTATCATTTTTTTTAAATATATAGTTTTATATTATAAATATAATTTTAAAAATATTATTATCATAATAAATATATATTACCGTCGTCTTTTCTTTTTAATTATCGAATATAGTATATTATCATTCCGGTGTTATTTTTCTTTTTCAATTATTGAATATAGTATATTGTTATTCCGGTATCATTCTCTTTTTTCAATTATCAAATATAATATATTGTCATTACAGTGTCATTCTCATTTTTCAATTATTAAATATATTATATTGTCATTCCGATGACAGTGGAATAAAAATTTCAATATATATTTTTTGTTGAACCGTTAATTTGTATTTATTCTTTTTTATTTTAATATTTTTTCAAAAATTGTAAATTATGTTTTTTATTTTATTTATATACATATTTATTTTTTATGTAAAAAATTATATAAATAATAATAATAATAATAACTAATAAAGAAATATAAAACTAATTTGATATATTAAATAATAATATAATACTAAAATTATAAAATTTAAAATATTAATATACAATATATTAGTATTACATATATTACAATGCTTCTACATTATAAATAATTAATATTAAATTTTATTTTATAAAAATATAATAATATATAATTACTTTAATTATAAATATATTACATTTATAAAAGTTGTGTTTTAATAATATATAAGTAACTTTAATTATAAATATATTATATTTATAAAATTGTGTTTTAATAATATATAAGTAACTTTAATTATAAATATATTATATTTATAAAATTTATGTTTGATATAAATTTATATAATTATATATTTATAAAAAAAAAATTCTGCAATCCTATCAAATTCATATAAATTTATAAAGAATTCAATCAAATTTGTAAAAATCTATGTAAATCAATTATTAAAATCCATCCAACTCAACTTAGACTCAGTAAATTTTTTAAATCTACATAAATTTATAAACTTTTTTAAATAAAAAAAATTATTGAAATATCAATGGAATACACCATGTCAATGGTCTTGTTCATTTATATATATATATATATGGGTATACTGAGACGTGGATGAGAATGCTCCCTCCAAGTTTCAGGCATCCACCAATCCAATCTAATCTCCAATCCCATCGGGTTTTGTCTCCACAGTTAATTACCACGCTTGCCCGCCTATCTAAAATTGACCGACTGGCTGACGATCAATTAAAGTAATCGAAGACCATATGATTATTATGATTATTATTATTATTATTGGCCAATCATCAGACATGAATAATCTCAGTCGGTGACAGTGAGTGTGAGTGGACCACACCTCCTTTTCTTCCTCATATATCGGTCCTCTCACACATTCTTCATTCACACTCAGCGGCGTAGCAGCTAGCTCTCTAAATTATAAAATAAAAGCATAGCTGCAGCAGCTAGCTAGCATTGATGATGATTATTAATTCCTTCCATCCAACCCGCAAAGCACTACACTAGCTACTACTAACTAATCTAATACTACCTCATCCATCATCCATCCCTGCGCTGCACAGAAAAGAAGCCATACAAACATACATACATCCCTCAATTGACCTTCCAATTCCTCTCTCTTTCTCTGGTTGATGAGAGCGAATTAAGGAGGGAGGAGAGGAGCATGGCGTCGTCGGGTCAGGGTCAGGGTCAGGGTCAGTCCAAGCAAACGTACAGTATATGCTACTGTTTCAAACGGAGATTTAGAGTGAAAGAAGCTCAAGTGCCTGCCGACATCAAGCTGAATGTGTTCCAGAAATACTCTTCCGAGAATGGATCCATGGGCGTTGAGCATCTCCACAGATTCTTGAAGGAGGTTCAGGGAGAAGCCAATCTGAGCCTGGAAGAAGCGGAGCGAATCATGGAATCCTTCCTCCACGACCACAAACACCTCAACATTTTCCACCGCAAGACGCTCTACATCAATGAGTTTCTTCGCTACCTCCTCGCCGATTCCAATTCTCCCCTCCCTTATCCTCCCGAGGTCTGCGTTGACCAAAAACAATACATGACCAGTTACCTGCATAATCAATCATTAATCATCATCATCATCATCATCATCATCATCATCATCTTGTATTTGTTTTGATTTGCGATCCCATCAGATTGTATGTAATGTAAATTATTGCTGTGTTTGTTGTGGGTGGCAGGTACACCAGGATATGAGTGCCCCATTGTCCCATTATTTCATATACACCGGACATAATTCCTATCTCACCGGCAACCAAATCAGCAGCGCCTGTAGCGAAGATCCCATCATAAAAGCTCTGCAGCGAGGAGTTCGTGTTATCGAGTTAGATATGTGGCCAAATTCCACCAAAGATGACGTCGATATTATGCATGGAGGGTGGGTATGCCTGCCAGCTGTATACTAAACATACACTTACCCTGCAAATATATAACTCACATATACATATATAACAAAATCAGCAACGATATGACAATGAGCTAGCTAGATAGATGCACTGCCTCTAGTACTACTAGTATGTATATATCTATATATATATATATGTTCTTCCTGTTTGCATCAATCAGCATATGTATAGTTCGCTCATTGTTGTCTTCCTTAGGCAGGACCCTGACGGCTCCAGTCAAACTGATCAAATGCTTGAGGGCAATCAAGGAACATGCTTTCTTGTCTTCAGATTTCCCTGTCATTCTGACATTAGAAGATCATCTTACGTCTCATCTTCAGGCTAAGGTAGCAGAGGTGAGTTGATTTCAGGTGCCTGCCTGCCTGCCTGCTCATTGATTAATAATTTTCTTTTACACTAACTAAGGGATGATTATGATCTGATGATGGATCTGTGGATGTTGGTTCGGATCAGATGGTGACTCAAGTATTTGGAGACACACTGGTGAGTGATGCATCAGATTGCGTGGAGAATTTCCCATCGCCAGAGTCATTAAAGAGACGTGTGATCATCTCCACAAAACATCCAAAGGAGTATCTGGAAACAAAGAGTTCAATAAAAGAAGATGGGGAGAGCGTAAAGTCCCACAAGTCATCATCTGAATTAGAAACTGCAGAGTCAGCCTGGGGAAGAGAATTATCGGATTTAGGAGTGCAAGTGAAAGAGGAGGAATTGGAGTTAGCAGATGAGGTGGATGAAGAGAGTCAAATATCGGAGCCAAATGCAAATGCACCACCCGAGTATAAGCGTTTGATCGGGATCCGCGCACAGAAAATGAAAGGCGGGATTAAACCATGGCTGAAGGTATGCCCCCAGAATAACGCGCACAGAGTGAGCTTGAATGAAGAGAAGCTACAAAAGGCTGTGGTAACTCATGGAACAGACATCGTTCGGTGAGGAACTTCTGTTTATGTTATCATATGATAACAGAAATGGAAATGGAAATGGAAATGAAAACTATTTGTTTGTTTGTTTGTTTGTTTCCTACAGATTCAATCAACAGAACTTGATGAGAGTATATCCAAAAGGCATGAGGATTGACTCGTCCAACTACAATCCTTTAGTGGGGTGGATGCATGGGGCGCAGATGGTTGCATTCAACATGCAGGTAGGGACTTAGGGTAGGGTAGGGTAGGTCAGGTTAACAAGAATATATAATAAATACATTGATCTGTAATTAATTAATTAAGTAATTCTCATGTTGTTACTGCAGGGACATGGCAGGTTTCTTTGGCTGATGCAGGGATTTTTCAGAGCTAATGGTGGGTGTGGTTACGTGAAGAAGCCTGATTTTCTAATGCACCATGATCAAGTCTTCGATCCCAAACGCAAATTACCTGTGAAAACCACCCTCAAGGTCTCTCTGTGTGTCTATAGCTCCCTCTTCCTTCCTTAGCTTCCAATCCAAAATATTATTTGTTGTCTGTCAATCTCTCAGGTGAAAGTCTACATGGGAGAAGGCTGGAATCTTGATTTTCATCGTACTCATTTCGATCTGTATTCTCCCCCAGACTTCTACGTCAAGGTACATTGCATGCGTACAAGCACGAATCTGATTGATGCATGCCTGATCCTATCCATATATAATAAGCAGATAGGAATTGCGGGAGTGGGATCTGATTGGGGACAGAGTATGAAGCGGACGAGGGCGATAGAAGACAACTGGAACCCAGAATGGGATGAGGAGTTCGAGTTTCCAATATCCGTTCCGGAGCTGGCATTGCTTAGAATCGAAGTCCATGAGTTCGACATGTCGGACAGGGATGATTTTGGAGGGCAGACATGCCTTCCTGTTTGGGAGCTGAGAAGCGGGATTCGAGCAGTGCCCCTCCATGATCAAAGAGGCGATAGATACAAATCTGTCAGGCTACTCATGCGCTTCAACTTCGTCTAAACTCTAAACTAAACATTATATTTCAACTTCATTCCTACTGGCTATATGTTCCGTTCTATGATTATAATAATTCAACCTTGTCCTGTCCATTTATGCATGTATGTAAATGGTAATGGTCTGAATGTATGTATGTAAACTCAAGAATCAGGCAGTTAGTACTGTTTGGATTCGATTCTCTGTGATTATATATATCTATAAATAAAAAAATAGCCTAAATAAATGGTTGAATGAGGTAGCGAGGGGATGGACTCATTCTTTGAGCTGCCAAAATTTAAATTTGGATGAATATGAGTTTCATTCTCCTGTTTCATATATTCATGTACTATTGGAATGGCAACCTCTGACTGACTGACTCCATGGGCAGAACAACTCCACAGTGCCTTACATTAGTTGACATTCTACATCATTTGAGCTAAGAATAGTTGGTTTTGAAGAATGATGGATTTGGGTCATGATATTGAAAGAAAAAGTTGACCCAATTTCTTCAAGGACCAATGCCCATGACAAAGGATATGTAACAGGTTTAGGGGATGGAGGAGTTGGGTGAGTTATCAAGATTTAATAAGGGATCTCATCATTGGATTAATGGAATTTAGGCTTTAATAAAGAGGTATTATGAAGAGTTTTAATTGAGATGGAGGTTTTCGGGAGAGGAATAAAAGACAAGGTGGAAGAGGTAAACAGGTTGGATCAATCCCACTCTAAACAATTTCAGAAATATTTTTTATTTTATTGCCTCTCTTTACTTTCATTTTGTTGCATTTTCTTTCATGTTTCAAGTACTCTATCTTATATTACTTTATTAATCCTCTTTCGATTTGTGAATTTTTAAGTTGTTTTAGATATATTGCAATGTTCATCCTCTCAATCTGTTATAAAAATTACATATGAGGGCTCGTCCTGAAAATTTTCTCTTGTTAGTCCTGAAGCTCCACTTTTACTTCATCCAGCTATCCCAACATTCCTGTAGGCTATCGATTAAATTTTTCACTAACAATAAATTGGCATGCCTAATATGACCATTGGGCATCTTGTGTTTTATGCCGTTACAAAATCAAAAAATATTGCAAATCCTATAAGTTAGCCACGAAACCCAAGTTACTGTTCAAGCACATAAAAGCGGGAAGGTAAAGATCCTCACAATTCACCATCTTCTAATGAGCATACCAATGTAGTATCCACCACTAGCTGTGAAATTCAAGGTGAATTTTTTTTTCTTATACATACTAGTGTGGTTCAAGAACAAATCCGGGCAAAATTCAATCTTTCATGATTCGACCCAAATGGTTCTCGTTATTTGGTGGACATAATCGTCCAACCATTAAGTACGAAAAGGTAAAGCTCCTTCACGAAGAAGCTTCTTCTGTCCATCCAACAAAGGAAGCGGCAATCCAATAGGTCTGGGGGCATAACAAATTATAGAAAGTTCAAATTGTATTTCTCAAGGTCTTCAGGAATTCTTTGGGACTTCTAGAGGATATATACCAATCCACCTCCTCCAGGGGTCTGGCCATGGCTCACTACATCCTTACGCATATTTTATGCCTTAGATGACGTATTAGTACTTATCTCATTCATATATTTTATGCCTTAGATGACGTATTTGTACTTATCTCATTCATGTACAATATGATGCATACACACCGCTTGACTGATTTCTTTAATGTCTGAGATTTTCATACAAACATCACCTTCCTTCTCTTGAGAAGGGATAGGAGTTTAGCCTCTTGGTCCGGCACGAGCGAGGTGGAGATTATTAGCGGGTAAGTCTCTTCCGGGCCAAGGAATACATACTTAAGATGTTCTGGTAGCTTTTTCAATACCTCTCTTTTGTTGGATTTGCTTTTTGGCTCACTTCGTTTGATCTATGGACTCAGTGGGAATAGGTGAACTATCGTTCTGCTCATCTGAGTCCTCTAACTGCTCAAGAGTGAAGGAATCTTTCTTTGAAATTTCTTCAAGAAATTCTAAGGTTAAATTGTTCTCAAGAGAAGTTAATTCATTTAATTCATCGATAAAATCACAGTTTTCTTTCTGAGGTTGGCGTAATGCGTTGTTCATTGAAAATGTAACTTTATCTCAACCGATGCTCAATGGAATTCTGCCTTGAGCAAGGTTGATGTTCACTTGAGCGATGGCAAGCAAAGGTCTTTCCAAAGTTATTGAAATTTTGCAGTCTTCACTCATTTCCATTATTATGAAATCTACAATGAAAATAAATTTATTTACTTGCACCAGTACATCATGAATAACCCCTTTCGAGGGTCTTTATTAATTTATCCGCAAATTGAATTACAGTTCTACATGGCTCAAGTTCATAAAGCCCTAATTTACTAGAAAGCAAATAAGGCATAAGATTGATTCTAGCTCCAAGTCACATAATGCCCTAATCGGTTTCAGGTTCCCTATAAAACAAATAATGATAAAACTTCCAAGATCGCTGAGTTTTTTGGCAACTCCTCCGAAAATATGGCACTGTACACACCTTTCATTTGCATCGCTGCATCTATTTTAGGGATTGTCCTTTTTTATTCATTATATCATTTATAAACTTAACGTATTGTGGCATTTGCAGCAAAGCATCAGTAAATGGAGTAGTGACTGTAAGACTACGAAAAGTGTGTACAAAATTTTCAAACTCTTTAGGATTGTCCTTCTTTCTGAACCTTTCTGGAAAGGGGGCCCTAGCTATTGCCTGGGTTGGCTCTTTCTCTATCTGAGTTGGCACCCGAGCGGCTTGCGTCGTTGTAGTTCACTTGGACAAACTTCCTCGTTGGCGCTTGATTATTATCATCATGTACAGGTAATGTATTTAAAATAATAAGGGAAGAAGAATGATTAATACCTCTGTCTGGCAGTGGTGCCGATGATGTTCGCTTTCCTCCCCTTGTTTCTACAACCTTCGCTTGGTTCGGGACAATCTCGATTGTCCCAGGCAACACCCCTTGTCGCTTTAGCTTTATCGCTTCAACTATCTCCCCGACCTGCATTTTCACCATTTTGATCGAGGCAGGTGTATTCCTCTGGAACTCCTAACTCGCCCGCTCAGTATTTCTTCATAATTCCTCCAGACTCAGCGGTTGACTTGTCGCTGTGGGAGGCTGGGCAAAAATAGGTGTCTGCTGTGGAAAATGAGCGGCCTGATAGTAAGGTTGTTGCGGATAGTATCTCCCCTGACAATATTGTGGTGCAACGAACTATTTGTGGCTCATAAAATTGTTGTTGAGGCACGGACCGGCAGGTCTTTGGGGTTGCACCATCTGGAACTGTTGATACTGATGAAGATTTTTGTTTGCAATATAAAAGACCTCCGTTGGGTTCTAAGTCTGCTCAACAATCTGCGGGCTAAACTGGTCAATATAGGCTCACTTTTCAGTGGCCACGACTTCATTGATTACCTGTTTATTTTTATTACCAGATAGATCATGCTTCACGAGCTTAGCCAGCTCTTTGATCTGGACAGACAGATTGTCTATCCGCACTTCTTGAGAAACAATAACAGGAATCTGGTATAGACCCCTCGATGGCTCCGGCCTCCTGACTTCCGGTCAGCTTGATTGATTGGCCGTTATCTTCTCCATCAGGGCCCTCGCTTCAGAAGCACATCGCCCCATAAGCGAGCTACCCGCAGCCGCGTCCAGAGACATCCGCAACTCAAGAGTGATTCCTGAATAGAAGATTTGGAGCTTCATAATGTTGGGAATCTCATGGTGGGGGCAATTGCGGAGCAGCTGCTTGTAGCGATTCCAAGCTTTGGTGATAGCTAAAATTTGTTGAATTGTAATTTGTACATTTTCACAGGGAATTTATATTCGGAAATCAATGAACGAATGAGTATAGAAAGTGGTCAGATATAGTATAAGATTGTGGTTGTAGACCTTGAGTAGTTATCACAATTATTTATACTCTTTTTACTGGTGAGTTTCCAGGTCGAACACAAGGATTTTAAGTCATGAATTTCAAATCAGGTGTAGATCTTTGAGAAAGCGGCGAAAAATGCAGTAAAGGACCCGCTCTGCAGCGGATCCAGATTTCTAGTCTATAGAAAGCGGTAAGTAAGCGGTAAAAGTGAGCGAAGGTGAGCGGAGCGGAGGTGAGCGGTGAAGTGCCAGCAGTAACCGAGTGAATGGAACATGAGCGGATGGTGGTAACCGAGTGAACGGGACTTGAGTGGATGGCGATTACCTAGTGAACGGGACGTGAATGGATGGTACAATATGTATATACATGTAAGCAGTGGAGAGTGAGGGACAGATGTTGTGTCTGACTTGTGCGTTACTTAATGACTAGGTTCTCTTGGATGTAATGAGCGAGCGGTGTAAGTGTGTTAACGAAGGTATATGTATAATACGGAAGCGGTGGAAGGAGATAATGTAAATATATAAACTGAATTATAAAGAATTCTTAACACTGGAAATTGACCTTAAGGGATTTACAACAAGACTTCAATGACAACTAGGATGCGCAGGAATTAAAATCGCTAATATGCTCCAATCGAAGTATATTTACATAGAGATACCTGGCCCTATTTATAGTAGGTGAAAAGGAATGGTTGCAAGCAGTTGCAAGGCAGTTCAAACCGCTTAGCAGTTAGGCGGTTGATGGCAGTTATTCTGTTGAAACAGTTGCTGGCTATAACTCCTAGGGTGTCCGCTTCACTTGCATAGGATAGTAAGGGCTCAGATCTTCCTCGTTTGCCGGAGGGCTGGAGGACATCAGCGCAGCTAGACTTACTTGTGCTGGCTGGAAATGGAATGGTTGTACCGCTGTAGTTGGAACACTTAGTTAATATTTGCTGTCATTCTGCAACGGCGGACGTCTGGGCCGTTGCTTGCAAGCGGGAGAGACTGTCGCTTGAGAGCGGTGGAAGCTACCGCTTGTCTCTCTTGCCTTAGTCTTTCCTGTGTGATGCAGCGGTCGCTTGCGAGTGGAGGAGGCTATCGCTTGTGAAGCCTGCTTTAGCTTTTCTGGCACCAGAATACCGCTTAAAAAAGGCAAAATCATTAATGATCTCAACAACAAACTTTGGATCATTTCAAGCGATATAGATCAATAATGTATGCCATTAACAAGTTATTATGATGGTTTTTATATAGAAATTCGAGTAATACACAGTTTTGTCAAGCTAAGAATATGCTCGTATTTGGAGTCATCAAACCTCCTCACACTAAACCTTTTTTCGTCCACAAACAAAATGAATTATGAGATCACAGAGTTATTCTGTTCACTGCAATCAAGAATTGTTAACGATCAGTGCCATGATTGGGATCAATGTGAACCTCAAATAGAAACAATTGAGCCTTAAGCATT